TTGCTTTACCATGATAGCTAAGGATGTTGAACATTTCTTTAAGTGTTTCTTAGCCATTTGAGATTTCTCTGTTGAGAATTTTCTGTTTAGATCTGTTGACCATTTTTAAATTGGATTATTTGGTTCCTTGATATCTAGTTTCTTGAGTTCTTTTTATATTTTGGATATTAGTCCTCTATCAGAAGTGGAGGTGGTAAAAATCTTTCCCATTCTGTAGGTTGCTGCTTTGTCAGATTGATGGTGTCCTTTGCCTTACAGAAGCTTCCCAGTTTCCCAAGATCCCATTTAATCTTAGTGCCTGTGCTATCGGTTTTCTGTTCATGAAGTTGTCTCCTGTATCAATGCATTTAAGGCTATTTCCCGCTTTCTCTTCTATCAGATGCAACCCATCTTTGTGTATTCTGCCTGCCAGCTCCCAAATAACCACATGGAGATCTCTTACTAATTATGAAAACTTGGCCTTAGCTTATGCTTGTTCTTAACTAGTTTTTATAATTTAAATTAACCCATATTTTTTAATCTACATTCTTTTATGTGGCTCGATTATCTTTACTCTGTACTTCCCATCTGTTTCCTCTCTGTTTGGCTGGCAACTCTACCTTTCTTCTTCCCAGAGCTCTCTCTGTCCAGGAGTCCCTGCTATACATTCTGCCTAGTTATTGGCTGTTTGTTAAACCAATCACAGTGACATATCTTCACACAGTGTAAAGGAATATTCCACAACAATTCATTTATATGGTGGATTACACTGACAGATTTTGGTAGATTGAACCATCCTCCCTGTATCTCTGGGATGAAGCCTACTTGATCATGGTTGATGATCTTTTTAATGTGTCCTTGGATTCAGTTTGCAAGTATTTTATTGAGTATTTTTGCATTTGTGTTCATAAGGGAAATTGGTCTATAATTCTCTTACTTTGTTGAATCTTTACATGGTGTGGGTATCAGGGTAACTGTGGCCTCATAAAATGAACTGGGCAGTGTTCCTTTGGTCCCTATTTTGTGGAATAATTTGGAGAGTATTGGCATTAACTCTTCTTTGAAAGTCTGGTAGACTTTTTAAAGCTAAAATCATCTGGCCCTGGGCTTTTTTTGCTTGGGAAACCTTTACTAACTGCTTCTATTTTGCTAGGGGCTATATGTCTATTTAAATTGTTTATCTGATCTTGATTTAACTTTGGTAAGTGGTACCTATTAAGAAAATTATCCATTTCTTTTAGACTTTCAACTTGGTGGAGTACAGGTTTTTAAAGTATGCCTTTATGATTCTCTGGATTTCCTTGGTGTCTGTTTCATTTCTGAGTTTTTTAATTTGGATGTTCTCTCTCTGCCTTTTAGTTGGTTTGGATAAGAGTCTATCTTTTGATTTTCTCAAATAACAACTATCTATTGATCTTTATATTGTTCTGTTTGTTTCTATTTTATGGATTTCAGTCTCAGTTTGATTATTTCCTGCCATCCTCCTAGGTATGATTACTTCTTTTTGTTCTAGAGCTTTCAGGTAGGCTATTAAATTGCTAGTATGAGATTTCCCCATTTTTTATATAGGAGCTTAGTGATATGAACTTTCCTCTTAGAAGGAAACACTTTCATTGTGTCCCATAAGTTTGAGAATGCTGTGTGTTCATTTTCATTCAATTCTAGAAAGCCTTTAATTTCTTTATTTCTGTCCATTTTTCATTCACTAGAGAGCTATTCGCTTATTCAGTTTCCAAGAATTTGTAAGCTTTTTGTTGTATTCTATTGTTGATAGCAGCTTTAATCCATGGTGGTCTGACAGGATGCAGGGAGTTATTTCAAGCATCTATTGAGATTTGTTTTGTATCCCAGTATGTAGTCAATTCTAGAGAAAGTTCCATGAGGTGCAGAGAAGAAGGTACATCCTTTTGTGTTTGGGTGAAGCGGTCTGTACATATCTATTAGGTCCATTTGGTTATAACATCTGTTAGCCCTAGTATTTCTCTGTTTAGTTTTGTCTGGATGACCTGTCCATTGGTGAGAGTGGGGGGTTGAAGACTCTCAGCACAACTTCAGTCACGTATAGAACCTCACGTTCTGTCGTAGTGCTTCTTTCACAAGCCTGGGTGGCCTTGTGTGGGGGAAATAGATGTCAAGAATTGAAATGTCATCTTGGTGGATTTTTTTCCTTTGATGAGTATTTAACGTCCTTCCCTATCTCCTTTGATTAGTTTGGGTTTGAAATCTATTTTGTTGGATGTTAAAATGGATGTTACACCAGAGCAACACCCCTACCCCCATGCCATGCAGTTAGGACTGGCAGAACTCAATAGATCACAGCCTGGGCTTTGAAGAGGTCTCCAGCAGCTCCTCCACACCAACCAGGCACAGCTGGCTGGGTATTATTATGATCTCTTTGTGATGAGTAAGCATCGTCCTGCCCAGGACCATGACACTCTTAAGCAGGATGAGGAGACGTGCACAGTCATCCCAGGCTCTGAGAAGAAAACACTGGCCCACCCAGCACCTTGTGACACCAGGCACACAGGCACTACTATGGTGAGCAAAAGTATGGAGGGATATGAGAGACATGTCCTGTGGACAGAGGCAGATCTGAAGAGGCAAAAGAGATGAGGAGCAGGCTGAAGCAGGTGGCCTCATTGCTACCTGGGGCCATGGTGATGTCTGGGCCTAGGCTGCTGCTGGGACCCATGTCTGGGTTCAGGCTCTGGTGTAGCCAAGGTCTCTGTTGATGATGCCCATGGCTCCTGATCCCACCAAAGGCAGAGAGGATAAGGCTATAAGGAGTTGGCCCCAACCCTCACTGGCTGTAACACTAGGGAGAACTGGTCCTGCCCCTCACAGGCTGAGCACTCAGGAGAGAGGGTCCTACATCTCTCCTGGGCTGCACAATAGAGCTGACCCTGTTCGCAGGGCACAGGTGAACTGGACCCGAGGGCGTGAGAATGGGAGAGCAGGCCACACCCCTCTTGGATGCCGTCTCTCGCCTGGCCTGATTTTCTAAATCTTAATAAAATAGATATAAACATACCACACAAATTAATTAGAAAAAATATATCATCTGAAGATATATATCTGCTGCAATGAACCAAAGTTTTATCTAACTAGAATTAAACATTTTATTAATAACTGAACTTGGCTAAAACCTGGAAAAGCACGTTAGTATGCTTTGCATCTTGTCAAAAGAACTCTAGGCACTTCTCTGTGGAAAATCCCCCCTCCCTGCTGAATTCACTCCCTCTTACAAGCAAAAGCAATAAAATCACACACTCTGGCCTTAGAATTCTCCCGAGCTGCAACTCCAGCCTCACTTGTGAGTTCGCTTTCCTATGGTGGTTTTCCTACTCGAAGGCTTTATGTTAATGACGTATTACACAACTAAAACGTGCTCATAGTCTACGATGAAAACAGCGAAGCCGGCGGGGCAGTGGTGGCGCACGCCTTTAATCCCAGCACTCGGGAGGCAGAGCCAGGCGGATCTCTGTGAGTTCGAGGCCAGCCTGGGCTACCAAGTGAGTTCCAGGAAAGGCGCAAAGCTACACAGAGAAACCCTGTCTGGGGGGGGGGGGGCAGCGAAGCTGAAGGAAGAAAGCTAATCTCCTGTAATTCCCTATCCCAGAGATAATAGCTGTCTTCCATCTTGTATGTTTTCAATGAACCTTTCAGCAACCAATCTATCCCTCTCACTGAGTACTTACTTCATAACCCCGCTTCAAATGGTGTGTTTTTGGCGTGCATTATTCCGTTCTGTAGGCCATACTTAACCAAGCCCCGGTGGTGGAGGCTGCAGCTGCCCCCCTGTTTCCGACACTAATTGTCATGCCCACCCTGCAGCTGGCAGCCCGATGTTTGCTCTGCGTATAAGGGTGGGGCTGAGCCTGGGTCTAGTTTTCAGAGGGTCCTGACAACACCTGTAGGGTGTCAAGTGGTGAGCCTCCTACATTGGAGGAGAGGGGAAGTCCTTCTAGGCCGTGGACCAGCACACCTTACGGTGCATGGTGCTTGGAAGGAGGTAGGATCCAAAGAGTGATGGGAAGGAGGCCTGGGAAGGCAGCCCATGATCCTCATGGAGTAGGCCCCAGGGCAGGGCGGCCTGCCACGATTGCTGGCCAGAGAGCCCAGGTGAGGGCGAAGGGCTGGACACATGAGCCTGCTCTATGGGTGCCACTCACCCTCCTCCCCAGCCGTCCCAGAGTTTGCCCAGTATTTTGTACCCAGGCAGGAGTCAGTCCTGGAGGCTATGGATACACATGTTCAACAACATTGTGCGTCCCTGGGGCCAGGGACGAAAAGGAGAATGGTGCATGAAGAGTCTCCTCAAATCTTACTTTCTGAGTCGATTCCACACCCTTTCTGTGTGACTTTGTAAGTTAGCACACACGAGGCTGCACTATGGCAATGTCACGCACAAGTGTCGTACACGGTTGAACTCTCGCCCGCTTCCTGTTCTCCTTTTGACTCTGCCTCTGCCTTCACCTCCACGTCCACTGTCGTCATCAAATGGTAATAAGGCTGCTCACTTTTTAAAATGACAGCATTGCACCATCTCAGAAGAAAGTGCCACACGTACGTTTTCATTCTTCTGGGAAGGAGGCTTTTTTTCTGTCCGTCCATAGCATCTTCCAGTCCATCAGGCTACACGAGTCTCATCAGAGAAATGGCCCACCAGAAACTTTGAGAGGATTTTCTGCCTCATAACACCTGCCCCAGTGATCTGAAATCATAGCCAAGAAATTCATTCATTTTTTTTCTGAGACAGAGCCTCAGTAGCCCAGGCTAGCCTTGAACTTGTCACGTAGCTAAGAATGACCGTGCATTTCTGATCCTCTTACCTCTTTCACCTTTAAATTCTGGGACCACAGGGGAGTCCTGAAACTTTTACTTTCAATCCTCCACCACCTTCACGTCGGGAAGCAAGCTAGTTCCAGGAGCTGTTAGATCCCTGCGGGTGTGGGAGGACAAGCTGCCACGGTAGCGGGAGGACTCCGGGAGAAGGAAGAGGAGACAGGGAGTGGGCAGGAGTCTCGCGGGAGGACACATTGAACCCGGCTTTGCTGGAGGCAGCTCCACTGTCACGCTGCTGCCGAAGCGCCCTTTCCTCCTCTCTCAAGCCGACAGGTAAGAACCCTGGAGTTACAGTCACGCCTTGCTGGAGGCGCTGGAGTGGAGGGAGGGGCGGGCAGAAATGCATCCGGCTTCACTGCTCTACAGCCCGGCTGTGTTGTTCCGCTGGTTCTCCATGTATTTCCTTCCCCCCATTGCACCACATCCTTTGTATTCAAAGGCGAAACTTCTGATCAAATGTTGCAAACACTAAGAGGTCAGAGGAAGGTTCTCAGTGGCCCCACCCTCCAACCATGATGCAATCCACAGGCCTGTGTCCCCAGCACAGAATGGGACATTTGGAAACAGAGGTTTCTAGGAGGAACCATCACACTTCTCCTCTTCCTAAAAGCGTGGTTGGCTCTCTGGGGCTGGACCAGGAGGGAGAGGACTGGCAGTCAGAGCATCTCTCCCTTCATTGCCCTTCCGGAGGCTCCTCCCCAGAATCTGCATCCCATTGTTAGCCGCTTAGCAACAGCATCCTAGTTCCCATTTTATCAAGAGACTGCTGAAGACAGAGGAAAGGCTTCAGGGACTGATAAAAACGGATTAGCAGGTGATGGAGCCTGCCACCCAGCCTGACCAGCCTGAGTTTGATCCCTGGAATCATCCCACAGGATGGAAGGAAAGAACCAATTCCTGAGAATTGTTCTCTGACCTCCACATGCACACACACACACACACACACACACACACACACACACACACACACTTTTTTAAGAAGGAACGTCTTCAGACACACTGAAGACCCTCTCTGCAAAGTGTGCCTTCAAACATTCCAGAGCTGTGGCCCTCACTGACCACACAGCTTGAAACTCTAAATGACCTGGAAGGGGCTGACTCACATTTCACCAGAGAGCACCTTGTGCGCAGTGTCCTGCTTTGGAGCACTGAGGACTAATCTGTGTTTGTAATCACTTGTATAAGTAATTACTTATAACAACATTCTACAGACTGGGTCGATTAAACAGTACAGAAATTTGCTTTCTCACCTCTCTGTGTCTGTGTCTCTGTGTCTCTGTGTCTCTGTCTCTCTCTCTCTCTCTCATCTCATCTCACTATGCCACAGAAAGGCCTGGAACTCTCAGTTCTCCTTCCTCAGCCTCCTGAGTGTTTCAATTACAAGTTTGCTCCAAGTGGCTTTTGTGACATGCGGATGTCCACGTACTGATCTCTTTTGTTACAATAATATTAACCACATTTGGGACAAGGTCTCCTTTTTCTTCAGTTCCCCTTTACTTTGTAGTCCGCGTCTCCAATGCTAACCACACTCTAAATCACGGGTACGAATAATGAATTTGGAGAACAGTAGGGGACATTGGTAAATCTGTCCTCCTGTCCTCAGGAAAGATTTTCAAGGGGTAAAGCTCTTCGCTTAGTTGGGGATGGTGGATGTAGGCTTTCTTTGAAGAGAAGGGGTCTTGGCAAGGAAGAGATGGCTCAGAAGGAGAAAACTCCTTAAATAGCCCTACTGAGCTAAGTAAACCAGGGGATGGACTTGAACAAGGAGGGACACTTTGAACCTAGCCCGACACAGCCCGAGGTAAGGAAGGTGACCACCGTGATCATGAGATGGTTCAGGGTAGGGCGCACCATGCAGCTGGTGCACTAGGACTCTGAGCAGCAGGCCATGAGTAAGGCCGGCAGGGACTTCCCAGGCTTGACAGCCCAACCTAGTCACTGATTCGTCTGCTGTTCTCCCAGACCCAGGCAGGGCAAGTGGCGTCACTGTGGTAGACATTGCTTCGGTTTCTTCTCTGAAGCAGGCACACAGTACTTTTTCTGTTTCAGTAACACTAACAATAACTACAAGCTTATTGAATATTACCTCGTTATCACTATTTAATACAGAAAGAAACTGAAGCACAGAGGGTTAGATTCATTTATCTAAGGTCACACAGCTAAGCAGGAGAAAACAGTATTTGAACTAAGAACTTGGACTACGGAGCACTTGGCTTCTTCCCTGTTTAGACCTATCTTTGGGAGGCAGCATGATTCGGCTAGAACCCCATAATGGGAAAAGTACAAGCCTCTCAGTGCCCTAGGGTCCCTCAGCTATGACCAGGGACAAGTTAATCTCACTGCACTCGGATGCCTCCTGCTCAAAATAGACATAACTAATAAAAATTCTAATTATTGTAATACAGTCTATATCATTTATTATTTTTATTTTTCTTTCCTGGATGGCTACGACTAAAGCTCTATCAGTCCATATTAATGAAATTGTCTTAAAATATGTCTTGCATTACAAATTAGTACTTCTGATTTAAAATTATCCTTTTGGGGGCTGAAGAGATGACTCAGCAGCTAAAGGCATGCCCTGCTACTCCAGAAGACCCAAGTTTGATCCCCAAAACCCACAATGGGCAACTCATATCATCTGCAACTGCAGCTCCAGGGAATTTGACGCCCTCTTCTGACCTTTGTAGGAATCTACCATCATGTGGCATACACTCACACAGACATACACAGACACAGACACAGACACAGACACACACACACACACACACACACACACACACACACACACGAAAAATGGGAGGGAGGCAAAGGTATGCTTCTAGTTTATTCTTCAGCAAAAGTGTAAGTTGGTCTCTTTTTCACCTCCTCTCAAAAATCACTACTGATTGCTTATTAACATGCGTCTTCATTTACCCCCCCACACCCCAGTGTCTCAATCCCTCAGGCAGACTTGATGAACAATTTAAAATTCGTGTTTAGTTTCTCACACAGGCTTATAGCAACAGTTTTCATAAGTTGGTCCTTGTTGAAGTTCTAAGAGGCCTTGAAGCACAGGGGGCTTATTCAAATATTTCTCTTGGCTTTCTGTAGGGACACTCTTTGGGGGCTGGGCTGGGCATGTGCGTAGTCATTTGACAGTCGAGAACACCCTACCTTGTTAATTACATTTCAAGAGACATTCCTTTTTTTTGCCTGGAGTTATGAGTTATGTCCTAATGCCTTTCATTTCCAGCTTAGGGATTTGAATCAAAGCACAGGACACTGGACAGCCTGGCTAACCCAACTATTTCCTAGGAAATGGATTAAGGAAGAATGAAAATGGAGAATTGAGACTCACTCTCTTTGAAGCCATGATGGGAGAATGAACAAAGAGGACCTGCTGGGTCTTCCTTCTGCATTAGCCAGGTCTTCTGAATGGATGAATCAGCAAGATGGGGATTCTTTTCTCTAGCTGTGACCCTCCACTCCCCAGCCAAGATGCGCCCTCAGCCAGATGTGGCCCATTTGCCTGGAGGAGAACTGAGGCTAGAACACAGCGCTTTTCTTCCGAACCTAACCCCACGCTCTATAGTATGGCACATGTGCTATTTCCATTTCACTCAAGTGCACGATCTCCTCACACATATAGTGAGTGACCTCCTTATATCTATTTTCTAGCTGTCCAGTCAGCAGGCTTTTCATTCACAGTCATGTGAAAAATATGAGCACAATCCAGGATACAAGTCAGTCCCAATGAACAGGATCTAGTAGACATTGATTCTGCTTGCTTAGTGTAAATTACCTCTCTTTAGAGCACATCTGTGGTTAAGAGCTTCCCTTATTTGCTAAAACTGTGAGAAGACTAGCCAGCCTTGGGAAACTCCTCTTTCTCCAGGTGAAGGACATAATCGTTTCCAGCCCATATGATTTTCTTTCTGCTCACAGATGAATGAACAAGACTTGGGGTTGGCTCTATGTTTTTCCATCAAAATAATTGTGTGAGGGGGGAATACTAAAGATCTGAAAGGATGCTTTCCAGATGTTTGTGTTCCTACTCATACAGTGGTGATCTCAGCCTTGGTGCCGGAAGCCTCTGTCTACAAGAGGCGACAGTTAATGCTGAGACTCATAACTGGTACTGAGAATAAAGTGATGGGTGAATGCTTAGCCCTGGATGGGACATCTAGAGCACCCCTTCCAAGGCCCAGGGAGCACCATGGGAGACTGAGTGAGAAGAATAGAACAGCCGGAGGATGGCAAGGAGTGATGTGAAACATGGTCTCTAGGACAGAACATGGATGTTTCACTTCTGAACACATAGCCACTGTGGTTACCTGTACAAGATGAGCCTGTCAGCATCCCACATTGCATGGGGAAGGGCCCAGGAGACACTCCTCTTATTCTTTGGAGAATTATGCTACGGGCAGCCAATAGTTCCTGGGGAGTGAGAGGCCTCTTTCTTCAGTGGGGTAGCTGCTGGTAAGCTGCCCATGCTCCAGTAAATAACATCCCACCCATGCTCATGCAAGCAGTCCTAATTAAACTCAGTGGGACACACACACACACACACACATACACACACACACACACACACACACATATACACACATACACACATACACACACATATACACCCCCCCACACACATATACACACATACTTACACACATACACACATATACACACATATACACACATACTTAGACACATAAACACACACACACATACACCCACACACACACATATACACACATACTTAGACACATACACACACACACATATACACCCACACACACACATATACACACTTACTTACACACACACACACACACACACACACATGACCATAGATGGTAGGGGGGAGACTTGTTGGGAAAACAAGGGGGGTTGGCAGGAATGAGAGGAGCTTGAGAAAAGGGTAAGGGAGGTGGTTAAAATGACAAAAATTATATGAGTGTGTGAAATTGTTCAAAAATTAGAAGTTCTTTATTTATTTATTTTTTTTAAGAATCTGGAAATGTACGAAAGACTGTTAGGGAAGGGAAATTAGCTAGGAGAAGCAGGTGGAGAGAGAAAGGGGTGGGGGTGGAAAAGAGGGTGAAGAGGCTTCAGTCACAATGCACACATCTATGGGAACATCATGGTGAGGTTCCATTCACTTGTACAATTAATATCCATTAGTCACTGTAAAGTCTTTAAAATCTATAAACCTGATGTGCTACGGAAACAAAATATCCAGTCTGAAACATGAGACTGAAACAATACTTTCTTCTTAAAACAGAAATTGTGAGGCT